TTAAAAAAAAAAAAAAAAAAGTCTAGAAGAGAAACAGGGTGCTAGTATCTTTTCTTCTTTTGGTGAACAGAAGCCTCAGCCCTGCTCCTTAGTGCTTTCTAGTACTGAAGCATAGAAGGAGGAGGCATCAGTCTTGTTTGCTATTCCTATAACTTTTTAGGGCTTCAGAGTACACTCACTATCTTATTAAGAAACTGGTCTTAACTGGGTATGGGGGCACATACATATAATTCTAGCACTCAGGATGCTAAGACAGGAGGATCTCAAGTGGAGGTGAATTTGAGCTACACAGCAAGAGCCTGTGGCAAAAAAGCAAAACAAAACAATAGTTCCTAGAGTTCTGTTTTGTCTCCTTGCCCCTCCACTCCCTTTGGTGTGTTGGGGATTGAACCCAGGGTACCATGATGGTAGGCATGCACTGTACCAATTAGCTATCCCTAGCCTTATGTTTGTCTTTTAGTGCTATTTTTTTTCTGGTCTAGGAATCCAGTGTGATGAAACTCTTCTTAGATTTGTTCATTATTTACATTTTTCTGGATTCTAGTAAACAAAGTCTATGTTACCTGAGCTGACATGAAAAGAACAAAATGGGGAGGCCACCAGATTTGTGCTCGGTTATGGAAAGCATATTAGAACTGAGTATACACCATGGATGACTTACACTGTATGTGTTCAAGAGTTGAGGAAGTTGAATAGGCATATTATCCTTCTTTTTTCAACTTATGATCTTTCCCTTTCTCTAGCACAAATGAGATTTGCTTAATAGACTGATGCTAAGTAAAAGCTTTCATTGTATTTCTAGCTTAGCCAGGAATAGTCAGATGGTCAATATAATCTGTGATAGGTCTCCTCAGTTGCAAGTTGAGACACTAAGGCAAAAGGAAAATTAGAATTTCCTGTTTAAATAGCATTCAGCTTCCACATAGAACTTACTGCTTTTCCCTCTGGGGAATCAAATGTCAGAAATCTGAGGTCACAATCTGTTTCCAAGGGTCGTTCCAGATCATAAAGCTCTCCGTTCACTTGCGCAGCCACTGCAGTATCAGCCAGCGTTAAACTTTAGCAGTGGTGATGGTGGTGGTGAGTGGAAATGAAGAAAAAGTGAGGGTTACAAACCATAGGGGTAGAGAGGCTAATATCTCAGCAACTCTAAATTTGCCAAGTGGAAACAAGTTTCCAGAGAATTAGAACCTTATTTCTTTCCCAGATGAATAACAGGACAGAGACTCTAACTAATGTAGATAAATCCTCAAGAACAAAGGATTTTTTTTTTTTTCTGGTCTTTTTGAGACAGGGTCTCCCTGCAGTGCCAGCTGGCCTGGAAATCACTATGTAGACCAGGCTGGCCTCAGTCTCATAGAGATCTGCCTGCCTCTGCCTCCCAAGAGCTGGGGGATTAAAGGCATGAGCCACCATGACCAGCCTTTTTTTTTTTTTTAAGGCTGGCCTTGAATTTCAGATCTTCCTGAATGCTGAAATTACAGCTTGCACCATCATGCTTGACAAGAAAGGTTCCTGGGAGACTGCAGGAGAATTTCCCCAAGTTCAAGGCCGCCCTGGGCTAGAGTAAGACTCTGTTTGAATAGAGAGGGGTGGAAGATCTAGCTCAGTTGGTAGTTTGATCCTCAGCATTATATATACTATATACATTACATGCACTAGTGGTACATATCTATAATCTCAGAACTCAGGAGGTGGAGGCAGAAGGATCAAAACAGTTCAAGGTTGGGGCCCAAAAGATGGCTCAGTGAACTGGTACTTGCTGCCAAGTCTGATGATCTGAGTTTGAGTCCCAGAATCCACAAAGGAGAAAACTGATTCCAACAAGTTGTCCTCTGATCTACACACATGTGCTATGACACATACATACCTGCATATGCATGAAAACAATGTAAAAGAAATTTTTTTAAAGATTGGGCTATAGAAATTGCTCAGCTGTTAAGAGCATTGGCTGTTCCTGCTGAAGACCCACGTTTGAATCCCAGCACCCATATGGCAGCTAACAATGCTCTGTAACTCCAGTTACAGGGGAATCCAATGCTCTCTTCTGTCCTCTGAGGATATTGCACAACATGGGTGCACTTACATACATGCAGATATAATATTCACACACATAAAATTTTTTTTATTTAAAATTCAAAGTCATCAGGATATACTCACAATGTGTTGGAGACTAGTTTAGGCTACATGAGACCCTGTCTCCAACATAGAAGGGGACTTTCTTGGGGTGTGGGTACATGTTTAGAGGCTAGAGGTTAACCTCAGGTGTCCTTCCTCAGGAGCCGTGCATCTTGTTTTAAGAGCCAGGGTCTCTCACTGGCAAGGAGCTCCCTCAGTAGGTGAGGCTGGCAGGCCAGTGAGCCCAAGGATCTGCATGTTTCTCCCTCTCCAGTGTTGGGATAACAAGTGCAAATGACCACACCCACCTTTTAAATTTAATTTTAGCTACTTTTTTTTTTGAGACAGGGTCTTCCTGTATCCCCAGCTAGCCTGGAACTTGTTGTGTAAACCAGGCTGGCCTCCATTTCACAGAAAGCCTGCCTTTGCCTCCCTGGTGCTGGGATTATAGGTGTGTGCTACCACACCTGGCTCTACTTTTTTTTTTTTTGTCTTTTTGAGACAGGGTCTCCCTGTAGCCCCCACTGGCCTGGAACTCACTCTACAGACCAGGATGGCCTCAAACTCAAGAGATCCACCTGCCTCTACCTCCCAAGTGCTGGGATTAAAGGCGTGCGCCACCATGCCCAGCATGACATAATAGTTTTTAAAAAGTAAAAATAGAGCTGATCTACATAGTGAGTTCCAGCACAGCTGGGGCTACAGGGAGACCCTGTCTCAAAAAAGACCAAAAAACAAACAAACAAACAAAAAAACCCAAAACCCTATTATTTCATTTATTTATTATGTGGAGAGCACACGTGCCACAGCATATGTGGATGTCAGAGGACAACTTGGAAGACTGGGTTCTCTTCTCCACCATGTGGTCTGCAGGATCCAACTCAGGTCATCAGGCTTGGCAACAGCACCTTTCCTTACTCACTGGAGTCATCTCGCTGGCCCCACACCTGCCTTTTTAGTGGGTTCTGGGATCGAACTCACATCATCTTCCATATGTGAGAATCACTTCATCAACTATCTCCCAAAAGGCTCTCTTAGGAGACAAAGAAAAAATAGATGTTTTCTTTCCCTGACCAGATGCTGAGGAAATAAAGGAGGTATGCGATGGGCCCAATACCTGATCTGCTGAGCCAGCTGGTAAGGGGTTGTGTTCCATGCCACAGCATCTACTTTTCGGCCTCCAAGAAGTGATACCTTAATAGTCCGGCGTTTCTTCTGTGCCATGCTTGCTAATCTTTTCACTTGAGCAGTCCATAGCTCCTCAAAAAGGCCAAATCGCTCTGCCAACCAATGTGGAGGGGTCGGCAAGGATGCCTGAAGAGAAATACATGTTAGGAGGTCTCACGGGTCCTATTACTATTTCTCCTCATTGGGCAGGATGGGGTTGTGGATACTTAAGGAGCGGTGGTCATAACCCAATTTAAGGGGGAATGGAATGATACAAGGTCTTGGCCACCGGACAGAGTGGCGTGAGGCTACGCAGAGCCTCCGCAGTAGGCTCTGGTCGGGCTGAATGGCTGGAAACTAGCATACCTCACGCACGGTGTGCAGCTCGCAGCCTTGTAACCCTGGTAGCTGGCGCCGAAGCCGGCGCCATAACCCGAGCACCGGCCTCTTCAGGGCGAGCCCCATTCTCCTTCAAATCGGTGCCTCCAAGTTCAGATGATCGCCATTTCTTCCTCGCCAGGTTCCTCATTGGCTGCTACAGTCCTCACCGACTGGATGACAGAGCCGCCACTCTGGTCTGGCACCACCTCCAGGCATTCCGACGAGGCACGCCCGCACAGCACAAGTGGCTTTGAGAATGGTTCCGGGCCGGCCGGAAGGTGGAAGCTGTTACACACCTGCGGTCCTGAAACCCGCTGCGGTTCAGCAGAAAGCCGGAAGCCGCAATAAGGTGTTCCGCACTTTTGAGGAAGTGGATCTCTTGAGGGCGAGAGTGGGATGAAGACAGACAAGTGTTAGTCATGTTCCTTTAACCATAAAATTTCTTATACATGATCCTTAAAGCTGGCAGACTTTGGAACTAAATAAATGTGTAAATCTTGGATCTGCCAATAACTAAGAAATTTTTGGTAAATTATTTCCCTGATTTTAGTGTTCTCATCTATAAAAGTATCACTTCCAATTGTTGAGGTAATTTTATGTAAATAGTTTAAGTGTCTAGTGTATGACAATGGGCATCAGCAGTCAGAGGCTGCTATAAGAGATGGCTAGAGCCAGGCGTGGTGGCACACGTTTTTAATCCCAGCACTGTGGAGGCAGAGGCAGGCGACTCTCTGTGAGATCTAGACCAGCCTGGTTTACATAGTGAATTCCAGGCCAGCTGGTGCTACAGGAGACACTGTCTCAAAAAGACATAAATACATACATACATACATACGTACATACATACATACATACCATATCATACATAAATATAGACCAGCTTTAAGGCTGGAGCAGAGACTGTAGAGGTTACTCCTTTGAGTCCCTTCTTGCTCATGTTGCTTTAGAGACTCTTTCCAGACCTCAATCTTACAGATGCAGAATTATTGACATTTTGTGGTGTGTGTGTGTGTGTGTGTGTGTGTGTGTGTGTGTGTGTGTGTGGGTGTGTGGAGGTGTGTGTGTGTGTGTGTGTGTGTGTGTGTGTGTGTGTGTGTAGGCATGGGCATGCATATGCCATGGCACATGCGTGGAGGTCAGAGGACAACTTCATGGAGTCAGTTCTCTCCTTCCACTTTTACCTGGGTTCCAGGGATAGAACTCTGGATGCCAGGCTTGGGCAACAAGCCCCCTTTACCTTCTGAATGATCTCAATGGATGTGGAATTTAAGTCAAAGAGGATAGTTTGAGGTCAATCAGTAAGTAATGATGCTGGCTTCCACCATACCATACTTTCTTAATAGTTTACACATAGCTCTCTGCTCCTCATCTTCATTATCTTTTCTCCTTTATTCCTCTCATTAAATCTGTGATACAGGATTAGCTATATTTAATTAGTTTCATACAGTAAAAATAGAAACATGGTTAGATGTGTAGAAAAGCATGAAGGGAAGGGAACTTGTTTGCAGCTGTTGAGACTGTACTTCTCAATTAGTTCCCTCACCTGGGGGTGGGGATGGTTAGAGTTGTTCTCAGGTTTCAGTGGTGATGGAATCAAGGGTTGTTGGGTGGAAGAGTTGTCAGAAAAAGTTGCTTAATCTAGGTTTCCTTGGGAGGCCTGATGTTCTGTCTGGGGAGGGCTGTTGATTTGAGTCATAGGCCACTCTGGAGCTTGGTTCCATCTTCTGGTATGTTAGATATCCTGAAATACAAAGAGAAAGAGACAAGACTGTGGGAGAGGAAGATTACTATAGTGTGTGTGGTCAGAAAGCAGTAAGCATTTTAAAGCAGCATTCAGTAGGGATGACAGTGACATGCAGAACTTTCTTGTAGATTTGCACCAAAGAGGTAGTGTCATACTGCAGGCAACAAAATGGTAGGTGCTCAATGAATAATGACTGAATTAAGAATACGTTAATCACTATACTGATGGGAAACTTCAAAAGATAGACACTGTGACAATTTTTAAAATCATCCTGGGCTGGGTGTGGTGGTGCATGCCTTTAATGCCAGCACTCAGGAGGCAGAGGCAGGCGGATCTCTGTGAATTCAAGGCCAGCCTGGTCTAAATAGTGAATTTCAGGACAGCTGGGGCTCAAAGGGGGACCCTTTTTCAAAAAAAAAAAAAAAAAAGAAAATCATTCTACCTGTCCTTCTTTGTTAGGATCATAAAGGGATGCCAGCTCCCTACACTCATCCTTCAGTACTGTTTACTGTATGCAATGCACCAAGCTGGGCAGAGCTGATGCTGACTGATCAGCTATCACATGTGTAACTTGTGTTGCAGTGGAGGAAGGAATGCTGTCTTATTCCATCTCACCCATTGCAGCTCACCCAGTGAGCAAGGCAGCTAAGGCCAATACATTATTGGTTCTTCTAGTACATGCCTCAGTCTCAGATAAATTTTTTTTTTGGTCTTTTTGAGACAGGGTCTCCCCGTAGCCCCAGCTGTCCTGGAACTATGTAGACCAGAATGGCCTTGAACTCAGAGATCCTCCTGCCTCTGCCCCCCGAATGCTGGGATTAAAGGCGTGTGCCACCACACCTGGCTAGTCTCAGAGAATTTTAACCCATTCATCTACCTGAAAAACATCACAAACTTTTTTGCCCACCCTACCCATGCCTGCCACAATACCTACATGCAGAGCCATTTCACCATTATTCCTAGAACTGTTAAGCAGTATTCGTATGTTCCCTTCAAATCATGGATAATGATGTGGAGAGATCAAGCCCAAGTCTAAATCCACAATCTATTTACACTATGTCATGCTGCCTCAAAGGCTAAATTACTCATAATTGGTCTTGTTTGGTAACATTGATTTGCTTCCTATTGCTCTTCAGGGTACCTGACTCAAGATATTTATGGTCAAAGAGTACTTTTGGGTGAAGGGATGCTTCTTGTAAAAAGCCAAGAAAGGAGGTGTCTTCCAACTTTCCTCTACCAGACTGAAGTTAAGGAAAACTGAAGGAAATAACACTAAAAGATTCTCTCAGAAGTGTAGGGCCAGAAAAGAATCCTCAGTTAGTGTCCTAGATCTTTAGTCAAATTTTAGAAAATCCTTAGATTTACTTCACCTAAGAGTAGGTACCTTAAGTTGGTTAAAGTGTTGGTCTTATAAACTATTTCTAACTATCTTTACTGAAGATGCATTTTCAGTTTATTGGGATTAGCACACATCTCAAAATCTACTGTAGCTCTTAGAAGTAACCCTCCGCCCATTTACCTAAAAATGTGAAAGGCATTGGGAAAGTTGGGAGTGACTTAAAGTACAATATAAAGAAAACTCATGTCCTTGCTGTCAGTCTTTTCCTTGCAATGCTGAACATTGGGGCCCAGGCCCTTACAAATAGCAGACAAGTGTTCTACTACTGTTACACCTCCAGTTCATCAGCTAAGGGCTTTTGAGGCCCAAGAAGTAGACAAGAGTTTAAGACAAGAAATGGTGCACACGTTGTTTATTTAAAGGAGTCTTTTGTAATATAAGGGGAAGGTCTAGGATGGGAGCCAAGCTTTTACCTTTACTAACCTCTCCTGCTCTTAGCAATGACTAGCTACTTTAAATGTCTCATGTCTATCCCATGTGGAAAGGGGGAAGTAACTGGAAACTGTCAATGTCCTCTCTCCATCCCCACACAAACACCCCAAGAAAAGTATAGGAAGCATCAGGTCCTCTCTTTCCCACAACTCAACTAAAAGACTGAGTATCTTACAAAGACAAGGGGATTCAATGGGATAAGTAAATCTGCTAGAATATTTAGTTTGCCGTGAACCTAAACAAATCCTGTGTAGACTGGATTAGCCAACACCCCTTTGACTCAAACCTAAAAAGATGACTTTGTTTCTCAGTTGCAGGGCTTCTTTGTGTCTCCACCCATACATGTATTCTTAACTTCTGACTTTTGCCTAGGTGAGAACAAAGGGACTGGGGCTGGGGCAGGGGGGAAGAGGGGCTGAGGTAGAGTTTAGTGTTTAGCATGAATTCCCACACAAGCACATACACACAAAGCAGAAATGAAAACCAGATCCTAAATCCTGTTCCTTACAAAGCTGTCATTAATTGCACATTTCTAGATAAATCCCAGCCTTGTTTCCCAGTGCTGGGCAAGTACTCTACCACTGACACCCCTACCTTCCCCCAAACCAACTTGTAGCTAAGGAAGAAACTCGTTTCTCCCCTTCCTTCATCAGAACTTTGATGTCTAGTTTACACTTGCTCCTTTCCTTTGACTATGTACTTCCCTTGTACATAGAACAGGATGTTTACTTGAGATAGCTCTTACTGCTGACCTTTTAGTGGCCTTGTCTATGTAGCCTCAGTGAGTTATTCTTCAGCAATTGTGAATGGCAACTGATCAGACTTGTCTACATAGTTACTCATAAACAAGTATGAGAAACATTCCAATATCCCCAAACCCATTCTGATGGTCTTACTAAGTCTACACACCAGGGGAGATAACTCATTCCTGCTATGTAAAACCGGCTTGAATGAAACAAGGTAGGGGGAAGAAGTCATGCATTTTCAGAAACACGCCTGAAGAGGCCAAGGAGGAAGTCTCAAAAAACTGTTGCCCCTTTAGGGGTAGAGATAAGGATAAGGTGGCCAGTTGAGATCTTAAGTGGGGACAAGGAAGAAAGGGTGAGCCAGATTCCAGAGACAGAACAGTGGTACACCCCTACCAGCTGGGTGTGTTCCCTGGACTGCTGCTATTTCTGAAGTGTCTTGTGACACATGTATGGAACTTCACGCAATCAGGGCTGCTATTCAGAGCCTTCTACCCTGCTGGTGACCCAAGGCCTGGCCCAGATGCAGTGACAATCCCTTGTGATTCCTTTAAGCTGACATCCCACTTATTAAGCCTCACTGAGTTATGAAGAAAGGATAGGCAAGAATGGTGAAACAGGGGCTGGAGAGAGCACTCTTGCAGAGGACCCAGGTTCAGTTCTCAGCACCCACATGGCAGCTAACAATCATCTGTAACTAGTTTCAGGGGATCTGACACCCTCTTCAGTCTTCTACAGGCATTGCATGACACGGATGCATTTATATACATGTAGGCAATATACTTGTACACATACTTAAAAAAAAAAAAAGAGAGAGACCCTTTTCCATACTCTCCTCTCAATTCTCTGCTTAAAAATTAAAAAATGTGCCAGGCGTGGTGGCGCACGCCTTTAATTCCAGCACTTGGGAGGCAGAGGCAGGCGGATCTCTGTGAGTTCGAGGCCAGCCTGGTCTACATAGTGAGTTCCAGGACAGCTGGGGCTACAAGGAGACCCTGTCTCAAAAAGATGAAAAAAAAATTTTTTAAAAAAAATGCTCCTTGGAAGGTTAGGGAGGTAGCTCATTGGTAGAACGCTTCGTTGCCTGACATGCACAAGGCCCTAGGTCTGATTCCCAGCACTAAAGCACAACCAAAGCACAACTAAAAAGTGTTTCTTGGTTCACAATTGTACAATTTTTGGAGGACACAGAAATATTTACACAGTACATCCCACTTCAGGAGTGACTACTCCGAGGATCTTTGTCTCATCCCTCCCATTACACAGTTGTACAAAGGATAAAATAGAAAACCCATGAGGCCATGGAGTCTTGGAAGCTCGGTTAGCCTTCAGTGACACTGATTGTACAAGTCAAGGGATAACTGGACAAGGTCAACAGGAGAGGGGAAGAGTCAACCACACAACAAAAAAATGTATTTTATTAAACTGGAAAACAAAATATTGCAGACATTTTTTCTTAAGAATAGCTGTAAGAGAGGAAAGTGCAAGTGGTCATAAAGGAAATAGATGGGCGATCTGTGCAGGTATGCCTCAGCAAGGTATGGGCACACATGCTTCTCTGTCTTTCCCACATACCCTCAGATCAGAAGCCAGTGCAAGTGCATCTTCAGAGTTATCCCCGAGCTTTGCTTTCTGCATTCTGTTGCTGGTTTCACTGTCTGCCCTGGACAGTCAGGCTGCATCTTCACTGAAGAAAATTTAGGTTTTCCAACCACAAGTCTGCTCCACCAAGCAGCAGTTTTGGCTTCTAGCAATTCCCTCCTATTTCCACTCACCAGAGAAGCCAGGGGCCCTTCGTCAAAGCCCCAATCTCAAAGAAAAATGTCAAACCTTTAGAACTAGTTATTTTATTAAATGATATTAATACACATTTCAAAAGGATTTCATTGTTGTTGCTTCTAAAGCATGTACTTGTTTTCCACACTGCACACGTGAGAATATCAAACATATCTATTTTTAATTTTTAACAGGTAGCCCCACCAATTAAAAAATGGAGGGGGAGCAGTAATTTACAGCAGCTTCAAAACAGTAACAGCTGAAGCTTAACTCTGTATGAACAGGTAACTTCAGGACTGAGTGTATATTCTGCAGTAAGAAGTTTAGCACACTCACATTGCTAGACAGGCTTGCTGTAACACCTATACCACAACATAGTTTCTGGTATCAGAAAGGAGAGAAGTCCTACTCTGCTCACTTTCATCCTCCCTGGAATCAAACCAATCTACTGACCTCCATTCTTAGGATGGCAAGAGGGGTGCAGAGAGGGAACCCCCGGCTAAACCGACTGAAGGGACCCTATTTGTGATACTGCATCACTGAGTTTTAAGTGGTTCCGGATATATCCATAGGCTTCTCTGTCTGTGATTTTACAGTGAGCACCAAGGACTTTTTGTGATGACTACTTACTCTGCTTTCATGTGAATCATGTCCTTGCTAAGATACTACGTTGTGCATTCTTCAAAAAATATCTTGTTTATTATTTTTTTTAACTCAGGGTGAAATACAAAAGTCAGAGCATGGTACGGAGTCTAAATCACAGACACAGAAAGAATAAAACCCATGTTTCATCTTTATGAATACCAGAAATATCTTTTGTTTCACTATATCACGTATATACAGTTATCTTCATTTACGGTTGTGGACAGATTTCTTTAAAATATCTGACAGTTTCATACAAATCCTTACTTCCATCCTGAAACAGACACACTGAAGATTTTGTGCCAAAAACAAAACAAAAATATCCACAAAAAAACACCCACCCAATCCCTGAAAAGTCCACCTTTGAACTGTACAGTCTCCCTTTTATATTTCAGCCATTGTACTTTTGAGGACAATTACCCTGCCTCAACATTCAAGAACTTTCCCAATACTCCCACATCTTCATTAACATCAAATGGTCGGAGAGCCTTTTCAAGTAAACACTATGTTTAAACAAGAGCAGTAGAAAGAATTCACATTCTTTTATTCTAGAAAGAAAAACACTCTCATTTAATTTCTGCAAAAAAAAAAAAATCAACTCTGAAAGTCACATATAATTCCCCTTCCCCCACCCCCATTCTCTCTGTTTTATAGTTTTTTTTTTTAACTAAACAAATGCCTTAAGACTCAATATCTATTTCCTTTGCTTTGCTATGCTATATACCCCACCCCCCACACAAGGTCACGGTTTCATGCATTTTTGTGGGGAGAGCTACAGGGCAGAGAGGCTGAGAGGGTCAAAGAAAGAAGAGCTGGCTTCAGATTGGGTACATGTTTGGAAGATGAATGTCTTGCTGCATCCTAACCACAGAACACAAGGGTAAGTCCAAATAAATAACATGGAATACATCACACAAAGCTCCCAAGCTATGATGGACATCTAGTTTAGGCTTTTTTCTTTGAAAAGTAGTTTATTCTGAGACAAGAACTGTCTTCTACCACTACATTACCCACTTCTCCCCATCTTTCTGTTTGCACTGTGAAATCCAAAGCAACTCCTATATACATTCTATCCTGACGGGAGCAAAAGTGAAGCTTGCTAGGATTCCTTCAAAGACTCAACACATATTGTTTTACACATCTACCTGGTGTAGTGTACCTTGGTATAAAACACACACATAAAGTGTAAGTAGTACTTTTCAGTGTCCCAGACACAAATATAACAAAAGCACTCAAAGTACAGTGACGGTCTTCTTCTTCCCAAGTATGAGATGCAGAAACACAAATAGAGCTTCTGATCCAGGGAGGACAGCTCGTCCCTCTCATGCCAATGATTCACGGCAAAATCATTACTTCACTTTGGGATGGGAGATGAGACTTATTCAAAGCAAGCCTTGAAGTGTCAGGGTGCTGTCTGCAGAGGGGTCAACCAGGGCTTCTCAGGACCCTGCTTTCTCTGTGGTAAAGACATGACTAGCAATACCCAATTGTTCCTAAAAGACATCTAAAGAGGCATCATATAAGGATACCACTGGATTTCCTTTGGAATGCCAAGGAGTGAATACAGACTGAAACAAGGGGGAAGACAAATACTTTCCTTTCTCTAATTATGACATTTGCAAAAAACCACCAATGAGGCACCATGGCAAAAGTAGTGTCTACTTCAATATTTAAGAGGGCAGGATAATATTCTAACTACATCCTTTTATCAATTCAGCCAAAAGTAGTGACTGAAGGAGAAAAAGAAAGTCAAGAAAGAAAACCAGGAGGCAAGACTCAGAACAGATGTGTGGAAACTACTTCAAAATGTTTCCTATTCTCTTGTATATGAAGGTGAGTGAGGCAACACTACACCCTTAGTGGTCCCTTTTTTTAGCTTTCCGTATTGTGATTACTCCTTGTTTTAACCTCAAACTTAAATTCATCTCCATCCTTTTCATTTAATAAAAAAACTTTTTTCCTTTTCCTTTTATTTATTTTTTTGGGACCAAGTCTTGCTACATAGCCCACACGGGCCTCAAATTCACCATTCTCTTATCCCTACCTCCCCAGTGTTGGGGTGACAGGTGCCACCACTCCCAGCAAGAGAAATTTTCCACTACCATAAAATGTATTTGTATTCTCAAAGTTACTGCCTGATAATAGCTCAGAGCAAGAAGCTGATCAGAAAACAAAAGATTTTTAGAAAGTTAAAGAACTCGGTTTCAACATGCCTTTAAAAATAAAGCATAACCCTGACAGGTCCAAGATCTCCCACATTTCCTCCCTTGCAAACACCTCTTGGCATCCAGCAGGGCAGAGAGAATACAAGAAAGGACACCAAGCTGGTCACAGAAACTGCTGCGCTGGAGAAGGAAGGGGACAGGGATCGTTCCATTGACTATTAGGCCCCAAAGAACACCCCAACATTGCACATGTTATCATCTGTACTGACGGAAGTTTTATTTCAAATGTAATACTCTCCAATAGATGGGATAAAGTACTGTTTTCCTCCCCACTCCCCAAACTCCCAGCCAAATGAAGTGGCTTTGGTTGTATTTACCCTTTTTTCCCCTCCTTTAAAGAAAAACACAAACAACTTGGGAAAGGTCTTAAGTGCAGAGAGAGGACTGAATAATGGTAAATGTCAGCATACATGACTTCTGAATTTGGAAGGGCATCCCTTCATTAAAAGAAAACAAAATAGCCCAAATCGCTACTTCCAATGCTCTCTAGACCGTTCAAAATGCCTTTCCCTTGGTTTCCATCAGTACCTGGGAGGGAAGAATGGGCGTTTTGGTGCAAAGAACGGAGGGCCCCTAACAAAAGGTGGCCTGGGTCTCTTTAAACTGTGGAATGGGTCTCTCCCGAGAAAAGCTTCCCTAGGCCGAAAGTCTGGCCGGGGGCTCCGTAAAATCATACCACTCCGGCCGATGGCGTCTCTGTGTGCAGGACCCAAGGGAAGGCCACTGCTGCTGTTGCTGCCTCCCCCACCTCCTCCAAGGGCTGGGCCCAGGTGCTCCAGAGGGTGGGAAGGTAGGCTCAGGCTCTCTCGTACACGGCTAAGACCAGGGCCGTTGAGGTCCCGTTGGCTGGGGCCCCCATGGTCCCTGGGTGCTGTGAGCACCCCAAAATGCTCAGCAAGGGTCCCTGGAAGGAGGGAGCTATGGTCCTTGGGAAAAACTGCAACAGCCCCAGTCACTCCATGCTCTGGCAGTGGTGGGGTTGGGAAAGGTACAACCCCAGAGTGGTCAACAGGGGGGGGAGGAGGAGGGGGAGTAGAAAAGGGGACACCACCCCCTCCACTGCTGCTAAGTTCCCCAGGGGGTGGAGGAGGGGGTGGGGTAGGGAAAGGAACTCCGCTGTGCTCTCCAGGAGGAGGTGGTGGGGCAGCATGGGCCAGAGATGCCTCCTTCGTAAAGGGGTTCGAAAGATCCACAGAGGGCAGATGAGTGGGCGCCTCTCGAGAGAAGATACCACCATGATCCTTAGGAGGGGCAGGTGGGGCAGATGATGGCCCCACTGGCTCTCTTTGAAAGGGTGTCCCGTGTTCCAAGGGGGATGGGGGAAGATGATGCTCAAATGTTGAGTTGAAACTGTTGGAACGAAAGCTGCTGACACTGTCCTGAAACTGAGGCGCCCGGTCTTTGTATGGTGCTGTTTTAAAGCCAGTAAGGCCTCCGCTGCCCCCGCCCCCAAGGGGTGCCAACTCAGAGGCACTTGAGGGACCATTGTCAAAAGAGCTGCCTGGTGTGCTCAGATCAAACCAACCCACTCTTGAAACCTCACGCCCATGTCCTCTATTTCCCTTCCCAGGTACTCGTATGGATTCTACTGTCTGTATTGGCTCCCCTGACATCCTCCTATTGGCTGCATTATGATAACCCAAGGTTTCTATAGGGGCCCCCTTTTCTTCTGTGCTATCAGGCAAGTCTAAACAGGAGGAGGAGACACGGGTTTCTATGCGGTAGTGCTCTTCTTGTTGCTGATCAGTGGTGGTCAGGCTGGGCTGGGTGATGTTTGACAGACTGCCACCATCACTTGAAGTGCCCTTGTTGGGGGTCTGGGCAAAATGCTTATCATCTGAGGGCTTGCGCGAGGCGTTTTTAAGCATATTCTTAAACTCAATCGTCGATGTGGTGGAAATGGTGGAGGCCAGGACTTTCTCCACGCCTGATGTGGGTGGATGGCCCGTGGGAGCAGCAAGGGTATTCTGCGAAGAGAAAAGGGAACGATGTGGGACTGGGTGAGGAGAGTCTGGATATTGCTTCTGTGGCAAAGTGAGATGCCCAGTGGTAGACTGAGACAAGGTACTGTGGTTGGAGTCAGGGGTGAAAAATGAATCATTCTTACTCGGTGATGGTGACCGGTCAGACCCAGGTTCACTCCCTCTTATGTTGAAGGCACCAAAGAGCCCAGGGGAAGATGAGAGATGGTCACAGTTCTCACTAGAGTCCAGGAGGGCCCTTACAGATGGAGGAAAGGCAGACTTTACCCCAAATTCTTGGGCCCTGTGGTTATAATTGGACAGGATTGGCTGGTACTCGGTGGCATCAGAAAGCTTGCTTGATTTCAGGATAGATTTGGCTGGTTTCTTCTCTAGGTTCATCATGGCAGAGGGTGGAGGCCCTGAATACTCAAAATCTCGGTAATCCTCATCTTCTTGGAAAGAAGTATCTGGAAAGAACTTTTCCTGTGAAGAGTCCATCAGGGAAGATGGTCTCTCTATTCCATCGGAAGGCTGCTTATAGGGAGATTCACTGCCCAGGCCAAAGGGTCGGTATGTAGAGACAGAATTGGAGAGTTCTCGAGGGTAGCTTTCATCTCTCCCAGGGGGTGGTGATCTTGTACTGCTGGGTGTTGAGGAACCAGGGCTAATGATCTTAGAAAGCAGGGACATAGTATCTACACTGCTGGATGTGGGCTTGTCCATCATCTCATCCTGGGTGGGTGTCCCACTCCGTTCATCTCGTACAGGGGTTCCATCAATGTTGTCAACTGAGGTGCTACTAGGGCCACGTTGGAAATCTGAGGGATGACTCTCTGATGGGGCACTGGACCCCAAACTGCTTAGGATTGGGATGTTTAAGTTTAAGCCACTGAAACCAGGATTACCTTTTAGGAAGTTGTGGATCTTCATTTCCAGGCTTGGGGAGGTGGACTCTGACTCCAGCTTTGGCTTGGAGACCTCTGAAGATTGGCACATGGCAACTTCAGTAGGTGGGGCAGCAGGGCTAGTATTGTGGGTACCTGTAAACCCTAGCGTATTGGACGGTAGTTTAAAAGTAGTGCTTGGGAGCACTGGGCTTTGTCCAATTGATGCCTTGCTGGCTGAAGTTGAAGAGACTTCAGAAGTTGACGAACTAGGAGAATAGTTGAAGCTTTTGGAAATGAAAGACTGGGTATTTGAAGGAAGACTTCTTCCCTTTATGGTAGAGACTGTGGTGTTGGCAGGAGAGGCTGAAGTGCTCTGGGATGTCGCTTCACTGGCTGGCACTGGGTTCCCAGTAACACTCTGAAGTAAAGATGACAAGCCTGTAGAAACACAGATTAGAGGGGTTAAAAAGAACAACTTCCTACCATATAATAAAAACAATGTAGCACTTGGGAGGCAGAGGTAGGCGGATCTCTGTGAGTTCAAGGCCAGCCTGGTCTACATAGTGAGTTCCAGGACAGGGAGACCCTGCTTCAAAAAGACCAGAAAACAAAACAAAACAAAAACAAAACCCGAAAACAATGCAGGCTTATCAGATGTTATCATTAAAGGCGTGCACCACCACGCCCAGCAGATATTATTCATTCATTCTGGCTGAAACCAGATAGATTTAAAATATGAAGTTAAATGGAATTCAGATTAAACATCTACCAATCTGAGACAGCAGAGCACTGAAATATTTCCAGTCAGTAAAGTTTAGAAACAAGTCCAACAATAAAAGATGACAGGAAACAGAGGGATTTTAATGTCAGACTCATTCATAGTTTAAATAAAGTGGGAAAAGCAAAATTATTCTTAAAACATTTTAAGCCAGTACTTATGCTTGATCTGTGGAAATACTTCTCTAAATGCAAATTCTCACCTTTCCATCCTCCACAATTTTCTCTAATAAGTTAACATGTACTGTTATACTTAAGAGGAAAATAGTATATGCAAAATTCAGAAATTTGCTTTAATAGGAATACTTTTTCCAAGATGTAGCTTGTGACAGACCGACGTTACTTTCTTTTTGTTTTGGTCTTTTTGAGACAGGGTCTCCCTGTAGCCCCAGCAGTCCTGGAACTCACAGTGTAGACCAGGCTGGCCTTGAACTCACAGAGATCCGCCTGCCTTTGCCTCCCGAGTGCTGGGATTAAATGTGTGCGCCACCATACCTGGCCCGACGTTACTTTTTTAGGAACAATACTTTCACAATATTGTGTGTGCCTAAGTGTGCCTACCACAGCATGCATTTGGAGGTTAGAAGACAACTTTGTTGAGTCAGTTCTCTCCTTCCACCTTTATGTGGGTTCCATTATTGAACTCAGGTCACCAGGCTTGTGCTGCAAGGGTATTTACTGATTGAGCCATCTTACCAACTCATTTTTTTCATTTGGCAACAGGGTCTCATGTAGCCCAGACTGGCTTAAAATTCATCATGTAGCTTGAAGGTGGCTGTAAACTCTGATCGTCTTGTCTTTACCTCCCAAGTGCTATGACGACAGGCATGCGCCACCACACAAAGCTTTCTTTTGGTTTCCTTTTTTGAAAATATTTTATTATTATTACTATTATTATTATTATTATTTTGTCTTTTTGAGACAGGGTCTCCCTGTAGCCTCAGCCATTTTGGAACTCACTATGTAGACCAGGCTGGCCTTTAACTCACAGAGATCCGACTGCCTCTGCCTCCCAAGCGCTGGGATTAAAAGCATCCACCACCACGCCCAGCTTATTATTTTTTAACATTTTGTTATTATTTTTGTTTTATGTGTATGAGTATATTGCCTTTATGTGTGTAAGCACACCTGAGTCATGCAATGCCCTCAGAAGTCAGAAGAAGGCATTAGATCCCCCTGGATCTAGAGTTATGGCTGCTGGGAATCAAAACTGGGTCATTTGCAAGAGCGGCCAGTGCACTTAACCACTAAGCCATCTGTCCAGCCTCTATTTATTATTTTTATGTGAGTATACTGCCTGCATGCATGTATGTAAGTGCACCCGTGTCGTGCAATACCCTCAGAGGTCAGAAGAGGGCACTGGATCCCCTGGAACTGGAGTTATAGACAATTGCTAGTCACTGTGTGGGTGCTGGGATTCACACCCGGGTCCTCTGCAAGAGCAGCCAATGCTATTAACCACTGAGCCATCTCTCTAGCCCCTCTTTTGGTTTTCTTAAGATTTATTTTGACAATAATGGAGGACATTAAATCACAGATGTGGGGGTAAGGTAGCAGTGAAGGCGGTCTGAATATGATCAAAATGCATTGCATTAATTCTTGAATTAATTTTAAAAATATTTACTTCTATTTTTATTTATGTGTGTGTGTTTGTGTGAATGTATGCCATGAATGTGTTGGTGCCTGTAGATACCAGAAGAGGGCACTAAAGATTATCTGGAGCCGGAGTTACAGGTGGTTGTGAGCTTCCTGATGTGGGTGCTGGAGACCAAACTCTGGACACTGGAAGAGGAGGAAGCACTTCTCTAGCCCCTCTTTTGTTTTTTGAGATAGGGTGTTGCTATGTAGCCCAGGCTAGCTTCAAACCCCCAATCTTCCTTATCAGAAATGTAGGGATTATGAGTGTGCATCATGCTCTCAAGTATTAATTTTGCTTATAAAATATAACAATGAGGGGCTGGAGAGATGGCTCAGCAGTTAAGACCACTGACTGCTCTTGCAGAGGACCCGGATTTGATTCCCAGCACCCACATGACGGCTATGAACTGTACTCACATGCATGCAGGCAATACACTCATACACATAAAAAAATAAAAATAAATAAAATTTAAAAAATATATATATATGTAACAATGAGAAATAAACATACACTATAAAGACTTACAGGAGCAAACCAATAGAGGCACTGATCTTTTCACAAGAAAATGTACTTATAGTTATCGATTAGTGCAATTTGACAATGACAAGATTCAACCTTATGCACTGACTGACAAAACCTCAGGACCATATAGAAAGAATTCTTTGGTTGTACAGGTTGAACAGTTAAAACAAACTGCTCCTGATAAGAACTATTTATTTTTTAAAACAGGGTCTCCTATGTAGCCCATATAGCCTCTGGAGTACTGGAATTCCAGATGTATAATACCACCATGATCAGTGCAGGAATGACTGTTAAAAAATTGTAGAATCTGGACTTTGATCTCCGCCCAGAACAGTGAATGAATGTGGGTATGGTTGAGAATCAACAAATCAAAGCACTGAAAGGAAGCACATTCATATCTGCATCTTCATTGAGAGCAATGAATATTGAAAAGAATGCTTAACATCCTGTGCATGGTTAGGGATGAAAAGGCAAGATTCTCTGGTAAGGGTGGATCCAAGCTTCTAGTTCCCCAACTGAACCTGGAGAAATGGTTTTGAATAAAAGCATGGGTGAGGCCTGACTCAACAGCACAGTTCCAGGAGACATCTGGAGGAATGAAATGTCCTCCAAGTTCAGGCCCTTTCTTATAACTAAAGTTAAGAGCCAGGCTGTTAATTCAGGTAGAATTGTAATGTTGGCATAGTGATGCTGTACCCGAATAGAAAATGCTCTAAAAAATTTGACAAAGATAACATAAAATCCTGTAAGTTCAATCATATTTTGTAAACTTTATTTGCTTTCTTGTCATAAATTAAACCTTTAAAAAATTTTTATTATTTTCCTTAATGCTTTTAAAATTAATTCTGAGCTGGGTGTGATGGCGCAAACCTTTAGTCCCAGCACTTGGGAGGCAGAGGTAGGTGGATCTCTGTGAGTTCAGGCCAGGCTGGTCTATAATAGCGAGTTCCAAGCCAGCGAGGGCTACAGGGGGTCCCTGTCCCCAAAATAAAATAAAATAAATTCTGTGTGTTCATGTGTGTGTGTGCAGGTGTACATACACATGTGTGGCTGGATGTGGAGGTCAGAGGTCAGCCTTAGGTATTGCTCCTCAGGAGCTATTTTATTATTTATTTATTTATTTATTTACTTATTTTTGGGTCTTTTGGCGAAAGGGTCCCCCCTGTAACCCTAGCTGTCCTGTAACTCACTATGTAGACCAGGCTGGCCTAGAATTCACAGAGATCTGCCTGCCTCTGCCTCCCGAGTGCTTGGGACTAAAGGTGTGTGCCACCATGCCTGGCAATCCACCTTATTTATTTATTTTTGGTCTTTTTGAGACAGGGTCTCCTTGTAGCCCCAGCTGTCCTGGAACTCACTATGTAGATCAGGCTGGCCTTGAACTCACAGAGATCCGCCTGCCTCTGCCTCCCAAGTGCTGGGACTACACCTGGCTCCACCTAAATTTTTAAAGCAGGATCTCTCACTGGGAACTGGAGCTCAATAATTAGGTCAAATTGGCTGGCCAGCAAGCCCCAGGGCTTGCCTCTGCCTCTCCAGGGCTAGGATTACCAGCACATGACATTATGCTCAGCTTTTTCATTTGGATGATGATGGAACTTAGGTCTTCATGCTTGTACCAAAAGTACTTCTTCATTAACAAAACAAGCCTTAAAGTTAATTTTAAAGTTAGCATACCAAATAAATGCGGCCTCCTTATGTCATTTCATACAAGTCACTATACTTCATTTGTATTTATTCCCCTTGTCCAAAGTCCTCCCCCATGACTCCATTTTGCTGGTTATAGTGCTCCCTGCAAAAGGAACTCTTTCTGCTTTCAGGTCACATATATTCCACCCTCCCCTGGACCTTTTTCTCACCCCTATTGGTTCTCTGTGTTCATGATCTACACACATACACAGACACACACTCAATTTATTCTCTGAGAGAAAACAGGTTATTTGTCTTTCTGAGTCTAGAATATTTTGTTTAGCATAATGATCTCCAGTCAACACTCATTTCCATGCAAATGTCATGATTTCATTTTTCTTTATGGCTGAATGAAATTTAAATGTATATGTACTACATTTTCTTTATCCATTGATGGGCATCTAGGCTGGTTCCATTTCTTAACTATTAAAAGTAATGCAAAGCTAAACATGGCTGTGCAAGTATCTCTGTGGTATGTAAACTTGAGTTCTTTGGATGTATACCTAGGAATTATGTTGTGTGAGTGATACTGTTGTTTTATTTTTAGTGTTTTAAGGAAACTTCATCTGACTAACATGGTGGATCTACCAGTTTACAACCCAACAGAACTATATAAAATTTTAATTTTTTTTTTCACACACTAAGCAAGTGCTATACAGTGGTAATCCTAGCCTAGTTTTGTTTGAGACAGTCTTGCCATGTTCCCCAGGTTGCCCTAAAACTTGCTACTTAGCCTACATCGGTCACAAACTTGTGATCTTTCTGCCATTGCCTCCCAAGTGCTGGGATCTATCACCATGTTTACCCTTAGTTTACTTTTTTTTGGTGTTTTGAGGCAGGGGCTTCCTGTAGCCCTAGTTGGCCTGGAACTCACTATATAGACCAGGCTGACCTTAATCTCCCAGACACTGACCTGCCTCTGCCTCAGAGTGTTGGCTGGGATTGAAGGTGTGTGCCACACCTTATTTTATTTTTAATTAATTAATTAATATTAACTTTTTGGTTTTCTTAGATAGGTACTTAGTATAAAGCCCAGGTTGGCCCGGAACTCACTAAATAGCCTAGGCTGGCCTTGAACTCATGGCAGTTCCCTGCCTCAGCTTCCCAAGTGATGGGATTACAAATTTGAGGCACCATGCCTAACCTGTCATATGACTTTTAAAAGATAGTCAATATTATCCTTTAGACATTGTAGGACAGGTTCTTCAAAAGTACACTGTTTTTAGCCAGGCGTGGTGGCGCACGCCTGTAGTCCCAACACTTGGGAGGCAGAGGCAGGCGCATCTCTGTGAGTTCAAGGCCAGCCTAGTCTACATAGTGAGTTCCACGACAGCTGGGGCTACAGGGAGACCCTGCTTCAAAAAGAAAAAAAAAAAAAGTACACTGTTTTAAAAAATTTTTTTTTATGTGTATTGTGTGCATGCAGTTAAGTGCACCCATGTTGTGCAATGCCCGTGGAAGACAGAAGAGGCTGTTGGATCCCCTAGGACTGGAGTTACAGACAGTTGTTAGCTGCCATGTGGGTGCTGGGATTCGAACCCCGATCTTCTGCAAGAACAGCCAGTGTTCTTAACCGATGAGCCATCTCTCCAGCCCCAAGAACACTGTTTTAAGATAGATACTATGGGCCAGTGAGTCTGCTCAGCGACTAAAGGTACTTGCTGCTAATGATGACCTGGGTTTGATCCTCAGCACCCACATGGTAGAAGGAGAAAACCAACTCCTACAAGTTATCCTCTGACCTCCAGTTACACTGTGGCACACGCATAGTCCCCCATAAGGATAAAATAAAAGTACTATTTAGTGACAAAAGACAATTTTATCTATTACAAAAATCTCAATATCTTAAAAAAAATTTTTTATAAATTTCCTTTTGGCTCTCAGTGGTTAAGAGCACTGGCTGCTTTTGCAGAGGACCGGGGTTCGGTTCCCAGCACCCACATGGAGGCTAACAACCACCCATAACTCCAGTTCCAGAGCATTTGACATCTTCTTCTAACCTTTTTGGGCATTGTGTGACATAGATGCACTTACATACATGTAGGCTATACACTCATACCCATAAAAAAAATAAGGGCCGGGCATGATGGCACACGTTTTTAATCCCAGCACAAGAAGTAGAGGCAGGAGGATCTCTGTGAGTTCAATGCCAGCCTGGTCTACATAGCAAGTTCCAGGCTAGCTGGAGCTACAGAGAGATCCTGTCTCAAAATGACAAAAAAACAAAACAAAACAAAACAAAAAACCGAAGACCTTTCTTACCATCTTTAGTTTCGATTAATATTAAAACATAAAATTCAACATATACTAACCTATTAACCTGTAAGAGCTGGGGTTAATGTAGACCCTAGGACTGTCATAATGTAGTTGGCTCACTGAAAATAAGATAGGTATGAAACCTTAAACTGGTCACATCACCTCACTGAACCCTAGTTTCCTTACCTGAAAAGGAAGGGTATTAGACTAGATAACATTTAGTCTGTTTTGGCTCTACTTTAAGTCTATAAATGCCATCTTATAAATGATAATAACTATAAAGACAGTAATTAATTAACTATATGTATATTTCATGGTTTGGGGCTCCTCAGAACTAGAATTCAAAATTACTAGAGACAAACATTCACAATTCAAGTCCCTCTGGCACAGGTCAGTTTACCTTGAAGTGCAGGGGCTGACTGTGTCTGGGTTTTGGAAAGAGCAGAAAGAATGCTCTCTGGGGTGATCTCCACCTTTGAGAGGATATTTGCCAGAGGGTTGTGAGACGTTGTGGCAGGTACAGGTGTTTTCAGGCCACTGGTGAGGTTGCTGGGACTGGTAGGAGTTCCTGGAGAAGGTCTTGATGCAGGACTGACCCCTGGTGGCAGAAAGATGAATGTAAGAAAATGCAAAATTCAATTCATGACATTTTGCATGATTGTTTAATGGCAATTTTGTGACTGAGCTACAAATGCCTATTTTGACATATACATAGAAAAAAATCTGAAAATGGTTAAAATTTGTTCATTCTACTTGGAACATCCAAACAAGTACTAAGTTATTTTCATGTGTATTCATTGGTTTTCAGAGCTGTAATCAGAACAGATCAGGCAACCTACTTCTACTCCATTGGTGCTCAGGGAGCACTGCTGGATGACTGGAGGATCAGAGTCACTACAACTGCAGAACTTTACCACTGCACACTTTTATGTCATTGGTAAGGTTTTTGCTTTTCAAACAGCCTTTAAAATGACATTAAACAAACTCCTTTACACTTTTATATTTTAAAGCACTGGGTTGATTATTAACATAGGAAAATGGTATCTGAAGACAAGAGAAAAACATTTGATTTCTTACAAAAAAATAAAAACTGTGAGCAGGTATTTACAAAAAAAACACACAAGCAAATGAAAAAAATAACATCTTTAATTAAAAGAATGGATATTCACTTTTAAAGGTTGAACATGACAATGGAAAAAGGAACAATTAAAATTTCAAATAGGTACATAAGATACATTCTTAGAAAACAATTTAACTGTTACACATGAAAATATGCTAAAAATCTACATTTTTTTTGATTTCTTTTGTTTTTGAAATAGGGTCTCATAATACAGCCCAGGCTGATCTAGAATTCACAATCCTCCTGCTTCAGTCTCCTGAGTCCTGGCATTATAGATGTGTACTAACCACCATGTTTTGTTTATATGCTGTATTTTTTTCTTTTCAAAATAACCCACAGTAGGTAGGGCACAGATGAAATAAGACGTCATGTATCTTGTCGAAGCTGAATGTTGTTCATTACAATATTCTTTATTACTATTATTAGTGGGGGGGGGGCATGGTGGGCATATGGAGGTCAGAGGACAATTCTGTGGAGTCAGATTTCTCCGGACACATTTATGTGGGTTCCAGGGATCACACTCAGGTTGTCAAGGATCTTTATCTGCTGAATCATTTTGTCAACCCTTTTCAGTATTCTTTCTTTATAAAGTGAAAAGCTGAAAACATAGCGATGTCTAATAAGGGATTATAAATTATCCTATACTTTGTAGGTTATTAAAGTTGATATGAATTTTCTTTCCTTTTAAATGTGTGTGATGTGTGCACATGTGGAAGCCAGAGGCTGGCATTGGATGTCTTTATTATACTTCATCTTATTTATTTTTGGTCTGAACTCACAGAGATCTGCCTGCTTATACCTCTAGAGTGCTGGGATTAAAGGTGTGGGCCACCATGCCCATCATTGTATCTTATTTTTTGACAATCACTGAACCTGGAGCTTAAGATTTCTACAAGACTGGCTTAGCAGCAACCTCTCAGCATCTACCTGCCTCCACTCCCTCCAAATGCTGGGGTTTAGACATATGCCTCCAAGTCTGGCTTTTACATGGATCCTGGGGATCTGAACTCAGCTCATCAGTCTTGAGAAGCAAGTACTTTACCCACTGTGCCACCTCCCCAGACTCCTCTCCCCTCTTTTTTCCAGAGAGGGTCTCATGTAACCTAGGCTGTCCTTGAACACCTATTGGTCCTATTTTTACAACTAAGTGCTGCGATAGGCGTGCTGTTTAGATGAGTATCTAATGACATAAAAATGTTAGACATGTACCTAAGTTTTAAAATAAAGGGTTTTGGTTTTTTGGAGACAGGGCAGCCCAAGCTGGCCTAGAACTTGCTATGTAGCCCAGGCTGGCCTTGAACTCACAGAGATTCACCTGCATCTGCCTCCTGGGTGTTGCGATTAAAAGCGTGTACCACCCGGCTGAAAATAAGGTGGCTCTAGAACAGCATATATATAGTGTTTTAATCATCAAAACAAAAAATTATATAGAAAAGAAAAATTATCATAAATATCCAATCCCTCAAGTACTTATATACATATATGTAAGTACTCGTGTATCAGTATAAAAAATGCTGGGATGGTTTCTTTTGGTGTAGAAGGGTTATTTTCTTATTTTTCTATAATGACTATGTATTTATTTCATTTTTGTTTTATTGTATTTTTTTAATGAAAAACTTTAAAGAAATTTCACCATCAACAAAAGAGACTAATAGTTCAATTAAAAAAAGATGAATGGGTGTTTTCTCTTCCTCACTGGGTTTACTTACCTGTATTTTTCATGACTGATGTTAGGCTGCTAAGGATAGAACTGATTTTTGCCAGATCCACATTTGCCAGGTTTGGCAAAGCCAAAGTTGGGGAAGGGGACAGAAGAGAAGTATTCATAGGCTTTGGAAGAGGTGGAGTGGCTGTAATGGTCACAGGCACCGGGGCACATGATGAGGCCTTTGAGATGCTTTCTGCTGGCTTTGTAGGTACAGAAGTGGAAACAGTTGATTTCTCCATAGGTTTTTCTTTCCTGTCCTCCACTGTTTCAACAAAGAAAAGAGACGATATAATGATCTTCTGTTTTCTAGATTTTACTTCCAATATGAAACAATATATCCTAATGTTTCCTGATTTGAGGGTAAAAAGCCCTATATCTCTTTTATGCCTAAAAAAAATATATATATAGTCTTCATACTTTAGGATCATTCCCATCATCAATTTAACTGCTTAAAAGGAATTTTCAATCACCCTATGTCTTACTTTTTAAAGATTCTTTTGCATGTTCTGAGTATTAGTACATTACATGTGTATATTTCTAAACAAAAGCCAGGGAGGGAGATGAGGGTGCTTAGGGAGAAAAAGGTGGTGAGAAAAAACAAAATTAAACAAAACAAGACAGCAGCAAAACCCTCAAACAGGAAAACATGAAAATGTACACATTTCTGAAAACATGTAATTATGTGTTCTGTCTTTTGGGTATGGTATTTGCCACAAGATGTCTTGTCTGTCTTGGTAATTTCCTTAGTGACAGAAATTCCAAATATACATTATCATTTTGAAATTGGCTGTGGGTATAATTAGGTACTAATTTGAACTGCAATGCTTTAACTCTTGAAAACTTTGGAATACACTTTTTTTTTTTCTTCCGTTTTTGAGACAGTATTTCCCTATAGCCCCTGTTGTCCTAGAACTCACTATGTAGACCAGGCTGGCCTTGAACTCACAGAGATCCGCCTGCCTCTGCCTCCCAAGTGCTGGGACTAAAGGGGTGCACCACCACACTTGACTGGAATACACTTCTTTTAATGCTTTAAAGACTATAGTGGAGCATGGCAAGGTAGTACATGCCTTTAATCTCAGCACCCGAGAGGGAGAGGCAGGCAGTTTTCTGTAAATTCGGAGGTCAACCTGGTCTATACAGGGAGTTCCAGGTCAGTCAGTGTTAAAACAATGAGACCCTGTCACAAAAGACTACAATGGTTAAACACAAGGCAAACTATCTAATAAGAATAATTATAAAAGGTGTGGATGGCAGACAAACAATTCTCGTTAATTATGAAAGTGTACTTAACAAACTGAAGCTCTGGAATTCATGATAGTCAAGAGTGAAAGAAAATAAGGAATTCCCTCTGTAATAGGCCAATGAATATGCCACATATGCAAATTTAAATTTTCTTTCTTTTGGGGTGTGTGTCTGTGTGTGTCTATGTCTGTGTAGAGTGGCCAGAGGTCTATGTAGGGTCCCCTCTCCTATTGCTTCTCAGCCTACTTTTTTTTGGCACAAGGTCTCTCACTGCACCTGGAGCTCACTGACTAGACTAGCTGGCCAGTAGCCCAAAGGATCCTTTTCTGCCTCCCAGTATGTAGGATTACAAGTGTGTTCTGCCAAACCCAGCTTTTTACATGAGTGATGAAGATAGAACTCAGATAGACATACTTGTGTAGCAAGAAGTTTATCTGCTAAGCCATCTCATGAAACTCCACGGTTAAATTTTCCTTCCTTCCTTCCTTCCTTCCTTCCTTCCTTCCTTCCTTCCTTCCTTCCTTCCTTCCTTCCTTCCTCCCTCCCTCCCTAACTAAGCATTGTTCCCCCCCCTTTCTTTCTTTTTTGGTCTTTTTGAGACAGGGTCTCTCTGTAGCCCCAGCTAGCCTGAACTTGCTATGTAGACCAGATTGGTCTTAAACTCACAGAGATATGCCTGCCTGTGCCTCCTAAGTGCTGGGACAAAAGGTGTGCGCCACTATACCCAGCATCCAAGTTTAAATTTTCTAACAGCCACATTAAAAACAAAATAAAAAAATTTTAATCTATAAACTTTAGTAATATATTTTATTTACCTCAATATATCCAAAATATCTTTACTTCAGCAAGTCATAAAAAGTCATAGGCAGGTGTGGTAGTGCATGTCTTTAATCCCAACCCTCAGGAGGCAGAGGCAAGTTTATATAGTGAGCTCCAGGCCAGCTGTAGCTACAAGGAGACCCCAAGACCCTATCTCAACAAAAGACAGGAAAAAAAAAAAAAAAAAAAAATTCAGCCGGGCATGGTGGTGCACGCCTTTAGTCCCAGCACTTGGAGGCATAGGAAGGCAGATCTCTATGAGTTTTGGGGCCAGCCTGGTCTACATAGCAAGGGCCGGGCGTGGTGGTGCACACCTTTAATCCCAGCACTCAGGAGGCAGAGGCAGGCGGATCTCTGTGAGTTCAAGGCCAGCCTGGTCTACATAGTGAGTTCCAGGACAGCAAGGCTTTTTTTTTTTTTTTTTTTTAAAAAAAAAAAAAAAAAAAAAAAAAAAAAAGGCATTAATGAAGACTAGAGACTAGATATATAGTTCAATGCAAGAGTGCTTGCCTAGCATAAGGCCCTGGGTTTATCTCCAACATCATGGGAAAACAAAACAAAACAAAACCAATAGTGAAATAACTATTTTTACCTTTCTAGAGGCCCAAGTTTTTGGAATCCAGGGTGCATTTTTACAGCACACGTGAAGCTGACAAACTGCTTTCAAATGCTTGAGTTACATATACAGCTAGTAACTGCTGCATTGATTCCAGAGCAATGACCCTTAACCCACATGAATAACAAATCCTGAACTCCTATTCTAAAAACAGTGCTGCCTTAGCGCTCTCATTATTTGTGTTGGACCTTCTGTTTCTTTCAGAGATAGGATCTCATGTAACAAAGGCTGACTGTGAATCCCTGCTCCTCTTGTTTTTATCTCCCAAGTGTTGGAGTTAGAGACGTACACCACCATGCCTAGCTTAAACTACCTCTTAAAAATATTGTCTATTTTTATTTTATGTGTATGAGTGTTCTGCCTGAATGTATGTAAGTGTAACATGTAAGTGCAGAGCCTGCAGAGACCAGAAGAGAGGGTCAAATCTCCTGGAACTGGAGTTATGGATGGTTGTTAGCTGCCATGTGGGGGCTGGGAACTGAACCTGGGACCTCTGCAAGAGCACACAATGGTCTTAACTACTGAGCCATCTCTTCAGTCCCCTGAACTACCTTTTAATTCCTGTGTATGACTGATTAATTGGTAGGAAGCAAAGTCAATATATAATTTATTAACCACGTAAGGACTTACCAATGATTTTTGATCCATCGTCTTCTACATCTGAGAGTTCCATGTCCTCTACATCACGATTATCTGTCACGGGTTCAGGAGTGGCAGATTTATCACTCTCCACAGTTGGTGACTGGGATTCCTCGCCTCCCATTCCCTGAAATGGAGACTCAGAACCGGTTGGGGAAGGAGCATCCATGCTTGGAGAAGGAACTGGTGATTCCTCAGGATCAGGAAGGGTTGACTTTAATTGATCCAACTTCTTCTTTAAGTTGTTTACTCGGTTAGCGAAAGTTTTGTATGCCTGAAAGAAAAAAGGGCTTATTTCTCTGGAAAAATGACCTAGAAGTTATCATTTTGACTATGATCAGATATCCTCATTAGGATTAAAAGCAAAACTGGCAGAAAACAAGAAAATACTACCACCTGTTGAGTATGGGGTAGTTTCTAAGATCTACTCTTTGTGCTAAGTGAATATTACTATCCATACAGTTGCCTGAGTTAATCTTTTTAAAAACTTAACAAATTTTATTACTGTTGTATGTAATGATGTGTGCATGTGGAGGTCAGAAAAAAAAAAAAAACATGTGGAATCAGTTCTCTTCTTTCACCTTTATGTGGATTCTGGGACATCAAGCTAAAATTGTCAGGCTTGCATGAAGTGCCTTTACCTGTTGGTGACCTAATTAATGAGTTAGAAATATAAAGGTTCCTGGGTGTGGTGGGGCTCACCTTTAATCCCAGCACTCAGGAGGCAGAGGCAGGCAAATCTTTGTGAGTTCAAGGCCAGCCTGATCAACGTAGTGAATTCCAGATCAGCTGGGGCTACAAGGAGACCCTGTCTCAAATAAAAAATTTTAAAAAAAAGTAATCTAAAGGTTATCTGTAATTCATCCTTCCTTGCTCCCAATCCATCCATTCAACAAACCATCTGAGCCTCAAATGTGCTGCTCATTCTTCAAGGTACTGGATAAAGGGCAATGAATAAGAAGACAGCGAAAAACGAACCCCAAAATAAATGCCTTGAATTGTCAAATACTATTGATTTTTTTTTTTTAAAAAAAGAACTGTATTTTAAAAGTTTTAGGTGTATAGGACAATTGCAAAGAGAGTATGCAGTGTTCCTACATGCCCTACAATGCAAGTTCCTCTTATTACTGACATCTTATGTTAGTATAGTACATTTGTCTTATTTTAAAACCAATATTGGTAATTATTAACTAAAATGCACACTTTATTCAGATTTTTACTAATAATCTAATATCCCTTTTCTAATCATGGATCCCTTTCAAGATTCCACAGAGTCAATGTTTCCTCAGGTTCCTTGTTTGGGAGCCTGTTAAAATTTCTTTGTTTTGATGGCCTTAACAATTCTGAAGAGTACTGGTTAGGTCAGCTGAGACTTGTCTAATAATTCTGTCATTAGATGGGTTCATGGGTTTGGAGGAGGAAGAGCAGAGGTAAAGTGCTACTGTCATCCCATCATACTAAGCGAACATGCAACAACTCAACACTACTGAGGGTAACACTGGCAACTTGGTATAAATCCTATTATCTTTTTCTTTTTACATTTATTTATTTTGTGTATGTGTGTGGGTACATGCCTTTAGCCACAGCACTCAGGAGGCAGAGGCAGGTAGATCTCTTGTGTTTGAGGCAAGCCTGGTTTACACAGTTCCAGGCCAGCCAGGACTACATAGTGAGATCCTGTCTCAAAAAAAAAGGGGGTGGGGGTGGGGGTGTGGGAGGATATTTCCATTTGTTGAGATGAGGATTTTGCTATATTTTTGGTTTTGGGGTGTGTGTGAATGTGGGCTCAAATGTGCCATAACACCCATTTGGAGATCAGGACAACCTTGGTTGTCAGTTCTTCCCTTCTGCCTTGTTTTCCTGCTGTGTTCACTAGGCTAGCTGGCCCCTGAGCTTCTGGGGATTCTCCTGTCTCAACTACCCATTTCCTATGCTCATGCTACATATCTGCCTTTTACATGGGTTCTGGGGATTCAAACTCAACTCTTCAGCTTTGTGCAGTAAAAACACTTTAACTAACGGAGCCATCTCCCTAGCCTAGGTCTTGCTATATTGCTGAGGTTTGTCTTAAACTCTCTATCCAGTTTACTGGATTAAAAAAAAAAAATAATAATAATAAAGCAGGGTTGGAGAGATAGCTCAGAGGTTAAGAGCATTGGCTCTCTTTTTTAAAAAAAATTTTTATTATTATTATTAATGTAGACCAGGCTGGCCTTGAATTCACAGAGATCCACATGCCTCTGCCTCCCAAGTGCTGGGATTAAAGGCGTGTGCCACCACGCTAAGAAGGCCTTTAAAAAAAATTTTTTTTCCACTTCTTTTTTAAAAATATTTTTATTTTATGTGTATGAGTGTATTGCCTGTATGTGGGTAAGTGCACCCGTGTCATGCAATGCCTGCAGAGGACAGAAGAGGCCGTAGGATCCCCTGGAACTGGAGTTACGGACAGCTGTTAGTTGCCATGTGGGTGCTGGGATTCAAACCTGGGTCTTCTGTAAGAACAACCAGTGTTCTTACCTGCTGAGCCATCTCTCCAGCCCCCGAGCACTGACTGCTCTTGAAGAGGACCCAGGTTCCATTCTCAGCACCCACATGGCACCTAACAACCACCTGTAACTCCCATTTCAGAGAATCCGACCACTGCAGGTATTGCATGACAGGGGCACACTTATACACATGCAGGCAATACACTCAATACACATAAAATAAAAATAAATATGTTTATGCTTAATTTTGTATCCTGTGTTTTTTTTTTTTTTTTTTTTGGTCTTTTTTGAGACAGGGTCTCCCTGTAGCCCCAGCTGTCCTGGAACTTGCTATGTAGACCAGGCTGGCCTTGAACTCACAGAGATCCACTGGGATTAAAGGTGTGCGCCACCATGCCAGGCAATTTTGTGTCCTGTAACAGTACCTTGGGACAGTTTCTGGAAACACCAAAGCTGGTACTGAACAGAAGGGCTGTATTAAACTAGATATAAATTATATTCTATGTTTGAATCATTTGAGAATTTAGAATATTTGAGAATGTATATTATAAAATGATGGAACTTGGGGCTGGAGAGGTACATCAGAGGTTAAGAGCACTGACTGCTCTTGAGGAGGACCCAGGTTTGAATCCCAACACCCACATGGCAGCTACGAACCATCTTTAACTCCAGTTCCAGGGGAATCTGAAGACCTCTTCTGACCTCTGAGGCATTGCCTGACACAGGTGCACTCACATACATGCAGGCAATATATTCATACACACAAAATAAAAATAATAAAGTAAAAAAATGTTTTTAAAAAATGATGGAACTCTACCTTAATTGTATTGAATTAAAAGTGTGCTTTAAAGAGACACCTGTTAGCACTGGGACTTGTGTGTGAGTATGTGTTCAGAGTTTTCAATTTTTAATATTTGGTTAAACAAAATATACCTTTTGTAAACAAACCCAGCACATGGCCAACAGAAAAGGGGAATAAAAGCAAGAAAAAGCCTAGGGCTGGCCTTGTTGGACATCAGGGTCAGACTGCCCCTTTCTTAAAGGAAGAGGGTTTTTTTGGCCTTAGGCATCAGCATGAGTCTCTGTTCCTAAGCACCAGAATAAACCAGCCCTGAAGTGCTTAAGCATCTTTGCATATCCCATTGGTTCATGGACTCTGTGTGCAAGGGACTCCAAGTGCCATTTGCACAGACCCAAACAGTTTGGGGAGAGAAGTTTTCTCCTCTACCTAAGAAACGGCTTACTATCATCACTGACAGTGCCAATGGACTCAAGGTCCTGTTGTAATAATCAACAAGGTTGGCTGTAACTTCCAGCTGGTGGTGGTTGGAATGTTGTGTACAGGGGCAGAGCCCCCTGTGGTGCCAAGCAGATCTGGTGTAGAAAATGGTGCCAACGACCAGGGTCAGCTGCTGAGCCTAAAGCAGTAGCCCCTTAGGGCCTCTGCTACTCGGTGTAAAAAACAGCCTTGTTGGATTGAAGATGTGCAGAAAAAGTGCTGGTGTAAACATGCACTTCCGCCAATGGGGCAGCTCTCAGATCTGTGGAAACCATAGATCCTAAGAGCTAACTGAGTCACATGCCTGCCCACATGCCTTGAGGTATGGTGCTTATTTCCCTTCCTTCTCTGGATTTTCCAAAATAGAGAAAAATGGCCTAGAACTACTTGAGGAGGTAAGGGTGGCCAGCCCTCAGTTTGTCAAGGAAATATGTAGAACCCAGGTCTTCTAGTTAGAGGCACATAACCTACCAGCCTGAGGGCTCTGGTGCCATGACCTGAGGCCAGGACACCTAAAAGTTCTAGCTTAAACTCTGTGAAGCTTACCTTCCCAGTAGTTTCCTCACCAACTCTGCCCCAAACTAATTTAATGTCAAGGGTAGAATGTGTTTCTGATTTTGCTAGGATGGGCCAACTAGAACTGTCCCTCCTCATTGTCATTTGCCCCAAAGCTTCCGAAATCAATGTAGTGAAATGGTAGGGACATAACTGGAGTGAGTGAAAAGCCCCTCTGAGCCTATCCTGGTGGGTTTGGCTATGCCCCCTTAGGCATTTTTCTCACATTTGTCTTGCTAGACTGCGTGGGATTCACCTCTCGCTTTGGAATTTTCAGTATAAAACTCCAAGGCTGACTAAATCACTCTTAAAACTGTGTTATATATCTGCCCTCCGACTCTGGTGGGCTTCTACCTCTTCTGGTACCACCAGTAGGAGTTCACAGTTTTTTTTCTTCCCAAATGGTATTTCAGAACTTTCCTGAGCTCGCTCTTGCCTCCAATCCACTCTGTCATCTTGAGTTTGGAGTTGAGGTTGTAGTAGGGCCCTCCCACCTCGTGAACAGATCCAGTGCTGCCTTTAGTTTGAAGTGCTGCCATAATGACGTTCACATCATAGTTCCGGATTCCCAGCATGTTCTTCTTGTGTGGTGGCACCATAGTGTTTGGAGACAACCACTGGAAAATCTCCTGTAACATTTCCCTCATGAAGGCATTGCTGTCCTAGAAGACGTTGTTAAAGGTGTGGAGGGCACAGAACTCCCGGCGCTGTTTCTCATGGTGGTAGATTTGTGGGGGTACCGCCTTGGGCAGCTCCAAGGATTCAGATTTGGCCTTGTCTCCTTTCCATGGCATGCAACCCATGTTTTTCTATTTAGGTTCCAGACAGGGCCGAAAATGCCCCATTTTCCCTCCTGAGGAAGACATAGGCTTCTCTGTCTTCAGATTCCTGAGGTTCACCTTATTCTCTGGGGTCCATGATTTATGCTTTGTCACTGGGAGAACGGGTTGGACTCAAAAGGGGAAAAAAGTTCACCCAATGCAGGCGGGTAGAGCCCAATAGGTCACATCTTTTCTTCCATTTCCTTCGAATCATGATGCCACTGACTTTCAAGACAGGGTGTTAGATGAAACCCACAACGCCAACAACTAGTGAAGGCTGACCAGGGAGGGATCCAGGGTGGCGCAGGGGCCTCGAGGCACTGGCTGCATGCTACCCTCAGGCATGGGGCAGACTCAGGCTGGCTCCCTCTGCCCTGGGCCGGGACAGTTTTTTTTAAATTTTATTATTTTTATTTTATGTGTATGAGTATAGTGGCTGCATGTGTGTAAGCTCGCCCATGCTGCACAATGCTTGCAGAAGTCAGAAGAGGGCATTGAATTCCCCTGGAACCGGAGTTACGGACAATTGTTTAGCTGCCACGTGGATGCTGGGAATCAAGCCTGGGTCCTCTGCAAGAGCAGCTAGTGCTCTTAGTCACTGAGTCATCTCTCCAGTCCCCTCGTTTTTAGGAGTTTTTTTGGAGATAAGATTCAGACCAGACTCTCTCTTTTAATAAGCACTACTCTAGACAGTGTGGCAAAACTACTAGAGTTGAATACATATATATGTTTAAATTACATTTATCTATGTGGGTGTGAATATGCTATAGCCCATGTATGGAGGTCAGAGAACAACTTTCCAAAGCTGGTTCTTTCCTTCTCCCAAGAAGGTCCAGGAGATCAAAGGAAGGTTAACAGGCAGCAAGTAGCTTTAGTCTTTGAGCCACCTCACCAAACCCCCTCCCCCAATAATAGTTTTATATATGTTTCTAGTCTTATTCATGCCAGGCAAGGTGGTGCACGCCTTTAATCCCAGCACTCCCGAGGCAGAGGCAGGTGGATCTCTGTGAGTTCAAGGCCAACCTGGTCTACATAGTGAGTTCCAGGCCAGCTAGAGCTACAGATCATACAGCCACGTCCACAGGTTGGAGGAATCACTTCTTGGTAGCTGAGGCTGAAACCTTTTAATGAATCATTCCAGGAAATGACCACAGGTTTTCCTCAAGATCTGTTCCCATGGGAATAAAGTCCCAAAACTTCCAAATGCCCTGCCTCTTGTCTTTGTTCATATATATGACTAAGGGGAAAGGGTGTCATGAAAAAAACAAAACAAACTCCTATTATTTCATCTTGAAATAATATGAATTATGCAATCTTTGTGCTTCTTTGACCACTTACATGTTAAAAACTACTAGGGTACCCCTAGTCACCTCATGGTACCCCAGATTATAAAAAAAAAAATCTTTGTGGGACTGGAGAGATGGCTCAGTGGTTAAGAACACTGGTTGTTCTTGCAGAAGATCTGGGTTTGAATCCCAGCACCCACATGGCAGCTAACTGTTCATAACTCCAGTTTCAGGGGATCAGACAGCCTCTTCTGACCTCCACAGGCATTGCATGACACGGGTGTAGGCAATACACTCATACACATAAAATATATATATATAAAAAAAGAGCACTGACTACTCTTGCAGAGTTCGATTCCCAGCACCCACATGGTGGCTATGAACTGTCCTTAACTCCAGTTCCAGGGAAATCTGAGGCCCTCTTCTGACCTCTGTGGCATTGCATGACACGGATGCACTCACATACATGCAGGCAATAATATACTCATACACATAAAATAAAAATAATAAAACCAGGCTTGTTGGCATACAAATGAAAGAAAGAAAAGAGAAAAGAAAGGCCTTCAGTTTTAGTACAGCTTACTGGTTAAGGTGTGTACAAACTTTAGCATCAGAAGGACCCATATTTTTATCAAGTTGCCAGCACTTTTTACCAGCTGTATTGTCTTGTATAAATAAGGTCACTAACTCTTTCCAAAAGCAATTTCTTCATCTGTGAAATGGAGATATAAAGCTTATCCTCAGTTAGTTATCTTATGTAAACAGTGTCTGACATATAAGAATTCATCATGAAATAACTAATTACTTACATTTGCCACCACTTTCACTTCCTTGTACTGTGCTTCATAGAAAATTCCAGCATTTTCTAGTGCTTCTGTTAGTGAAGGCCCATTTTTCACCTGTTTATCTAACCCATTCACAAATTCTTCTAGCTTAGAACTTGCTTCTTCAAATTCTTTGGAGAACTTCTTTCCCCCTGTTTTATCTAAAATAACAGAAAAAGTATTTGTTTCAAGATTATAAAAGAAAAGTAAAAAATGTAATCTTTTGAGCAAAACTCTTGTCTGTGCAACTCTTCTTACTGTTCTGCTGCCTTAGTGTGCAATTTTTTTTTTTTTTTTGGTCTTTTTGAGACAGGGTCTCCCTGTAGCCCTAGCTGGCCTGGATTCGCTATAGAGACCAGGCTGGCCTCGAACTCAAGGGATCTGCCTGCCTCTGGCTCCTGAGTGCTGGGATTAAAGGAGTGCGCCACCACGACTGGCCCAATTTTTTTTTTTAAGATCGTGCGCCACCACACCCAGCCCAATTCTTTTTTTTTTTTAAGATAAGAATGTGGCCATGTAGTCTGGACTGGAGTATATAGTCCACGCTGTAGCCTCAAACTCATGATCCTTCTATCTCAGCTTCCTAAGTGCTAGGACTACAGCACACAACACCACTTCTGTCTCTTAGTGTATATTATTTTTATTTTATTTTATTTAAAAGGGAAGTATCATTTTAGTATTTATTATTATTACCCTATGTACATGAGTGTTTTGTCTGCATGTATGTTAAGTACACCACATGTGTGCAATGTCCCATGAGGCCAGAAAAGGGCATCAGATCTTCTGAACTGGAGTTACAGATGGCTATTAGCTACCATACGGGTCTGGGAACCAAACCTGGGTCCTCTGCAAGAACAGCCAGGGCTCTTAACTGCTGAGTCATCTCTCCAATCCCGGTGTGTAGCATTTTCAGTCTTAGTTTTAACTTTTTTTATTTTTTAATTATTTTTATTTTATGTGTATGAGTGTCTTGCCTACATGTAGGTAAGTGCACCCAAGTTGTACAATGCCTATGGAGGACAGAAGAGGCCATCGGATCCCCTGGAACTGGAGTTATGGACAGTTGTTAGCTGCCATGTGGGTGTTAGGATTCAAGCCTGAGACTTCTGCAAGAACAATCAGTGTTCTTAACCTCTGAGCCACCTCTTTTATCAAGGCAGTGTTTCACTAAGTTGTGTAGGATGGCCTTGAACACATTCTATAGCTTAGGCTAACTTTCAATGTGGCCATCCTCTTGTCTTAGTCTCCTGAGTAGCTGGGATTACAGACTTGTGCCACTTGGCTCAGTTTCCTAATTTTACCTTAATGAAGTTAATCGAAATCACAAAATAGATTTAATAAAATTCTACACAAAACAGATTCATGCTGGGTGTGGTAATGCATACCTTCAATCCCAGCACTCAGGAGGCAGAGACAGGCATACCTCTGTAAGTTCAAGGCCAGCCTGGTCCACATAGTGAGTTCCAGGCCAGCTGGGGCTACAGGGAGACCCCGTCTCAAAAAGACCAAAAAACCTAACAACCCCCCCACCCCCGCATTCATGTGAATTTGCTAGAGTGAATTAAAAATGAAAGTACCTATAGTTAAAATAAAGAAAATAAACTTGGGGAGGGGCTGGAGAGATGTCTCTGTGGTTAAGTACATACTTCTCTTCCAGAGTTTGGTTCTCAGCAGAGACATGGGGCAGCTCACAACTGCTTATAACTTCAGCTCCAGAGGGATGTTGCACCTCTGGCTTCTACATACAGCTCCCCCCTTCCCCCACATACATATATACATAATTTAAATAAAATCTTTCTTAAAAAAGGTTCAACTTGGGGCTGGAGAGATGGCTCAGTGGTTAAGAACACTGGTTGTTCTTACAGAAGACCTGGGTTCGAATCCCAGCACCCACATGGCAGCTAACCACTGTCCGTGACTCCAGTTCCAGGGGATCCAATGGCCTCTTCTGTCCTCAAGGGCATTGCACGACACAGGTGCACTTACCTACATGGAGGCC